GGTTTGTCCTCAACTTTAACTATTGGCCACTTTTGTTAACGGTCTTGATAGTATATAAATTACTTTATTAACGCGTACAACGTTAACAAACTCTTGTGGTCTGGTGGAAACAGACCTACTTGTTGCCCAAAGTACGTGGGTTCGAACCATTATGCTTCCAATTTTGGTTATTCTTTTTGTTTTAAAAAAAGGCATAATTGTAATTTTGTTTTCGTCTTCTATCTAGGGTTTTCGAGTTCTGCAACTCTTTTTCGCGGCCGCAAGCCAATTTTTTCACATAATCAGTCAGTTTTTTGCATTATTCTTATTATTCACACCTAAATCTTATAGATCTGGCATACATATATTGATTTCAAGTCTTAAACGAAGAAAAAAAAGAATTTTCAAAGAATTTGATTTCAAGTCTTAAACGACTAATTGGTCTTGGCGGCCGCTTTTTAGAACATGGGATACAGACAATGGATCCGAGAGAAATAAAATAAAATAGGAAAAGGATGAGAACAATACACTGGAAAAAGCCTCTGTGAAAAAAATAACAAAAAACTTAAAAAAGAAAGGGACTAATCTAAGAAAGAAATCAGCTTGTGGTCATGAATGGAATTGCTCTGATGACAAGCTGTTGGTAGAGAGCCACAAAAGCTGCACCAACGAATAGTCCCACCCAGAAAATCCACTGCAATAACAAAGAAAACGACCAAAATAGCATTAGAAGAAGATGAAATCAACAAAAATTTGTAAAATAATTAAATGGGACAGATTCTTACGTGGTCGTCCCAAGCTTGGTCCTTGTTGTAGATGATTGCAGATCCGAACTCAAGTGAACGAAGAACATAGCAAAAATGGAGAGCAGCAAGAAAGAGGATTACAGCAACAAAGAAAATGCAGCGCCGTTTTTGGAGAGAGGGATCAAAGTGGAGAGTTTCTGATTTAGGGTAAAATCTCATTTATATAATAGGGCAAAAATATCCGGTTATATCTGGTTAGGTTAATTATTTCCGGTTTAAATCAATATTTTATTTTAATTTCGTTTACGGTTTGAGCAGACTTATAAAGAAGTCTACAATCCTACTTTAAAATTATTCACTTTTGATGTTTATTTTAGATGGTTTAAAATGATTTATTTTTATTAATTATAATTTATATAGATCATACTTGTTGACATTTGATTTATAGAAACAAATTTCAGTTTAAATTATTTTTATATAATTTTAAATTTTAAATATAAGATTTAATAATATAGCAGACTTCTTATTATAAGTCTGCTCTACAGACTTCATTAATATTTGCAGACTTCGTAGGGTTAAAATTGTAATAGAACCCTCCGTTTTTTTGTTTACTCATGTAGGAGATAATAGTAATTTCTCTACCCTTTAACCTATTTTTGCAATAGGTTGAATTTGGGGTATACTTTTGCATTTGCATTCAAATTGTGGCCTATTTTTAGCAATTCTTCCTTAAGTTTATAACTTATAATTAAATGTTAATGGATCCCATCTTTCGATATTGTAAAGGTTACGTATCTTATAGCTGTGACTTGTGAAAACCAAATACGATAGGACAACACGAAAGAGATAAAGAACACTACAATAATCAAACAAATAAGTTTTAAAATACAAAAATAGACATAAAAAGGAAATATCTGAAAAGTGATATATCTTCTATAATATATTCACACAAATGGAAACAAAAAATATATCGATCAATCGATCAAAACTTTTTTGATTTTTTTTCAGACCTTAAAAATCATATATTTCATCTAAAATCTATTAAATCTTATACCAAAAAAAAAAAACAAAAGATGATCATAAAAATCCTATATTTTTAGTAGCCAGAATTTAGAAGAAATGTATTGTTTGAACAAAACAAATCAACAATAATAATAGACAGAAAGCCCAACCTAATCCTCCCTAACCTGAGCCCCCACTCATTAATTGCTCGACTAGTTTATAATAATTTCATATATGTTATTTATCATATAATAAGAGAGAGCATATTGTAAAGCGTAACTGGAATTCCAAATTCGTTAAAAAAAATAAAACTGGAATTCCAAATGCATTATTTTCTTTAGTTACCGGGAATCTCATATCAAGAAAACAAGTCTAATATCTTCCAGAAGAAAAAAAAAAATATATAACAATTTGCATTTGCATTTTCATTTTCATTTTTATTTGTACATCCCTGATCCTTCTGTTTTAATTCTCTCTGGTCTTTAGTTTTCTATTCAGAACATGATCATCAAAGAATGTAAATAAGAATAAGATTTCACCTGAAATTATACTTCCATTTAATGTATGTCTTCTATCGTAATTATCAGATTAGATAAAGCTCTTATATATTAAAGCTAATAAAAAAAACTCCATGTGGAATTAAATGTACGTAGAAGAGACAAAGAATGAACATAGCAAATAGTTGGGAGGGCAGAGAAATAGCTTTTTTGACCCGAACCAAGGGCGATCGGTCTTCTCCGCAGTGAATTTAATTACTTTGTCTTTCTCTTTGTTGGATTCACGAATCTAGTTGGTTGGAGTGTGTATCACTCAATCAATAATTTTTATTTTTTTATTCCTAATAAAAGTAAAAGTTAACATGAAATAAGTATACCATAAATATATGTAATCTTATTATTCTAAAACATCTTATATAATGTAACAGAGCAAATATCTAATATAGCAATCAAATATTTTGGGTTAAACTAATATGAAAATTATCGAAATGTTTTTCCCAAAACGTTGCAAAACCTAGCAACATCGGAGTTTTTTTCTTTTTTTAAGGTCTGCCAAATCATAAAATAAAATTTTAAAAACACAACTAATGTGATTAATTAGTCTTTTTGCACCGTGAGTCTGATTAAACTTTGCTAAATTGTGTTAAAAAGCATTAGTAAGTATACTATTTATGGATTATTAGTAATCTGGTATTCCCTATTTATGGATGATTGGTAATTAATATGATATCTCTTTTCATACTAATCAGTAAATTTATACACTAGTATTTTCTCCATGAATCAAGTCATAACAGTGTGTATTTATAAATATTAGATGAATACCTGCGTGTACACGCAGATGTTTTATTTATTTTAATATACCTTATAAAATTATATTTTTCCTACAAATAAATATATTTTTTTGATAATATAAATATCATATAAATTTGTAAATATATAATCATTAAATGTGATTTTTTTTTGTTTTAATATAATTTATTAATAGACATTTTTCTATAAGTTTAATCTAATATTTTTGTATTTGGTAATATGAATATCATATGAACTCGTAAAAATATAATCATTATTTTTTATAGATGTAATAACTGAAACTTCAAATCATACATCAAATAATAAAATATATCAAATAATAAAATAAGAGACTTTGAACTGAAATTCAAAATAGATTTTATTAGAATTTAGAATTTCAAAAATTGACTTGAAGTTTTGTCATTGATTTGCTTAAACTAGGCCTGAATTTTTCGGGAATTGGGGACGGGAATTGACGGGTAGGGGATGAGAATGGGAATTTTGGGAATCTGAATATACTACCCAGAGTATTCCCACAAAATAACGGGAGGGGAATTTACGGGTATGGGACGGGAACGGGAAATTCGAGAATCAAAACATACTTTCCATACAATCTCAAAATAAAATATAATCGGGAAAAGAACGGGAAAGAGACGGGAAAAATTTCGGATAATTGAGATAATTAGATTAAATTCAATTTTTGTTTTTTAAAAAAAATTATTATTTGTTAATAAATTGGAAAAATCATTATTTATTATAAAAAAAATTCAAATAACCGAAATCTATAAAATTTTACTTTATATAATTATCCAACGGGAAGTTCGGGTAATCCCATTCCCGTCCCTACCCTTTCCCTTACCCATTCAAATATTATTTTCAATCCCGAATGGGAAATTATAATTTCCCTTTCCCGAAAAATTCGGGAATTTCGGGACGGGTACGGGACGGGACGGGTTACCCTTCCCGAAAAATTCAGGCCTAGCTTAAACAATACAGCTCATTTCCTTGTCTTTTTTGACTAATCAATCAAGATTAAAGAAAATAAAAAATCAATGAACATTATTTGAACCTAATCATTCGAGATTAGCTAAATTCCTTTGAGATGAGCTTTTTCTTAACATTCAGTGGCAAATTCCCAACGGAAATAATTATAAGAGCTTACTCTCTACTTCGAATCCTCCTTTTAAAACCATCTTATCCTCTACTTTCTGCCTCGTCTCACCAAGTGTCTTCTCCATGTTGTCGTACTTCTTCTTTGTGGTCAAACAGTGTTGTGTTCTTTCTTGTTTTTGTTGATTTCTGCCCGAGACTTCAAATCTCAACCCTTTGTCATGGTGGTAGTGTTGTCATCGGTGTGTATGACTTTATACTAAGAAGAATTCAATACAAGTAATATAATAGAGCTTTCAAAAACCCATAAATCAAATAGGAGATTTGTGGAATTTTGAATCAATATTCGAAAGCATTAGAGATTGTTTGAGATTCGATCTTTCCAACTTCCAAAATAGAAATTAATTTGCAGTTCATTATGAACCATAAATTAATATGCATTTCTTTTTGGTTTTTGTGTTTAATTAAAATGAAATTAGTATAATTTAATTATTTAATTTTCTCATATTTTTTTTTAATCTGATGTATCAAAAAAATAGATGATGATGTGTCAAGCTTGTGAGACTCAACTGAGTCTTTATATAATAGATTTTTTTTAATCTGATGTGTCAAAAAAATAGATGCTGATATGTCAAGCTTGTGAGACTCAACTAAGTTTTTATATAATAAATAACATTTTACACATTACTTTAATTTTTAGAGGGTAGATGTGAAAACCCAAAAAAGGTAGACGTATAAATATAACATCAGCTGTAATTAAGAATGTGGTGGGTTTTTGGTCCACCGAGTCAAATAGCAACATTTATTTGAAATCGATATAGTTGTACCCACAGGGGAACCATGTGTCTTCAAATATGTTTTAACTAATTGGAGACGAATGAAAATGATTGAAGAAGAAGGTTTATTCACACCCTCTTTCTCTTTCTCTCTCTTTATTCATCACTTTACATGTCTCTTTGAGTTTGGTCCAATTTTTCACAAGTCCTAAATCCAAAACCCCCTCCTCACCGGTTCTGGCTCATGGGCGTCGTCCTCCATCGCCACCACCGTCGTTTCATTCCAACTATCACCGTCTTTGCTTTCATCTTTCTTTTCTCCTCCTCCTCCGCCGCTGTCTCTCTTAAGAGTAAGAATCCACATATAATAAACTTTTAAATATCTTTTTTTAATCTATTTAAAGCATAGTTTTTATGATATTATGTTATTTTTCTATATGCAATGTTATTCCTTAAACTACAGTGGGAATTGCAAACTCACTTAAGCAAAATGTTTTGTTGCTTAAAAATAGAAGAATAAGACCAAAACAAACACATCTTCTTTATTCTTGCATACTTTACTAGCTAGAGAGTGAGTTAACTAGGTCGTTAATTAACCAGGTGAAAGGCTTGGGCAGGGGCCGGGTTTGGCGGGTCGGATCGTAGATCAGAAGCGGTTAGGCGGGCCGGGCTCGGCGCCTCCGAGTTGTAGATCGAAGTGCGGGAAGTGTGAGCCGTGTAAAGCTGTTCATGTTCCGATTCAACGTGGTCAGATTACGGCATTGGAATATTACCCTGAAGCTTGGCGCTGCAAGTGTGGCAACAAGATCTTCATGCCCTAACTTTATCCTCAAACTATTTTAGTGAAGATAAATAAATTATTAAAATGACTTCTTCTAGTCTTTTTCATTTCTCGCGATTAATTTTCTTCTTCTTTTTCTTTCTTATATGTTTATTTATTAGTGGTTAGATGTAATGGATATATATATTAATAATATTACGACGTTTTTCTCATCACTTGTCCTTATCATTATTTTCTAATAATCTGATTAAATTAATTTGTGCCATCATTTATTTGGACTTCAGTTTGGTAGAATCTTGTATGTTATTAACAATTATCTTTTGATAAATTGTTAGCTTTTACATTCTCATAAGCGGAAAAGAGATTTAAAAAGGTTCTAATATCATAGTAGTTTTAGCACACACCAAAAAAGAAAAGTATGATATTGTTACTGACTTATTGTAAGATATAAAATATGATTTAAAAATATATGTGATTATTACAATATACACATTGCATTCCTTATTAAGTGTCTTTGCCCCTTATTGTTAGACAACTTTATGCTCCTAATATGTTTGGACCCATAGGTTTGAATTGGTCTCTCGAGTCGGCACCCATTAGGCCATTACTTGTCGTGTGTATATTACTCCATAATTAACCAATGAAAATATCATATCTATAATAACGTAACATTACTTGCCCCGTTACACGTCTATATATTGCAGAACTCTTTTATAAATGGAAAGAAAAAAGTGAATAATCGAATATAATTTGATGACGCATGGAAATAGTCAAGACATTTATAGTTCGCAGATTTTTTTCCCAAAATTTACCACAGACTCGCAGATGTACTCGTGCGCACTGCATACCCTGATTCTTGCATACAATAATGTCCGATTTTTGTTTATGTATGTCTTGTTAGATTTTTTTACTTTTGAAAATGTTTAGTCTCGTCGTGTACATCTCACCCTTCAATTATAGGTGCTTTTTCAGAAATATTAGTTTTTTTGGGTGTTATGATATACTATTACAAAGTTTTGTTGAGCTTGGCAGCGAGATATATATACACATATCTATAAGATTTCCTACTCTTAATCGTAAAAAAAGATTGGAGAAATAATACCTAAATCGTATGATGCTATTTAGCCAAAAAAAAATCGTTTGATGTTAGTGTGTTATATTCTCTTCCAAGTTGTGCACATAAACCAAGTGTACGAAACACACGAGTTGGTCTTTGAGTTGCAGAATTTCTTTGTAATTTGTTTTTCCAAGTCAAAGTCAGTTCTTTCACATGCACGCGGGGCCTCTTTCTACTATTTGTTCTTGACTTAAAAAGTAATACATTAAATTGAACAGAAACAAAACTGAGAGATTAGGTCTATCTTTTTTCCAAAAAATAGTAAAAGTTCAAATGTGACTCATAAATCATATTCATACATCAATGGATATCTAATTAATTTTTTTTTTTTTTCCTATATGTCACTCTTGCACACCTAGGATAAGCTTTGCATCATCATAGTCCTTAACTATTTGAAAGGCTGTAAATGGTTTTGGCTTCGGAATAGACAGTGTAGATTCGACAAAACAAACATGTTCTTAACTATTTGAAAGGCTGTAAATGGTTTTGGCTCCTGAATAGACAGTGTAGATTCGATAGAACAAACATGCATGATAAATACAGTTAGTGTATTACATGTACTGCGAATACAGTAAAATTAAAGTTGCATGGTGATTTTAACATACCGAATAATCATCAATTTTATTTCATTACTATTTTAACTACAGAAAGTTAATTTTCTTTCCGATCATCAATAAAAGAAAAAAATAACAAAAAAAATCATAATACAATGCGGCACTTAAACGCCTCAAATAAGTGGAGGTCAGAGATTTTGTAAGCAATATTGAAATCTTATTTTGTCTTTTATTATTGTACATGCATAACCACATATATGGTTTGCCTACCGTGAGCAAAAATGTTTCTCACCACTTTATAAGTATTAAAAAACCATTACATATATGGTTTGCCTACGGCAAGGACGATTTGATGGTCTTTGTGGATGGTGAAAAAAATCGATCGAGGGTATTCTGCAGGTATTTGATCGGTTTGCCAAGGGATCAGGACTTAAAATCAGTCTAGAGAAATCCATTATTTTCATGGCTGGTATCTCAGAAACTCTTCAGAATTAGATTCGGGAACAATTTCCTTTCAACCAACACTACAAGAATGAGGGGCTTTTCCGTCGAATTATTTACGACGATTTTTAGTCGTCGTACGACGATCAAAAATTTCATCGTAAATTCGACGTAAAAAAATGACCCTCGTAAAATCGTCGTAATGTTACGACGATATTACGACGAATAAAAAACGAATTTTATTTCGTCGTAATATTGTCGTAATATTTACATCGATAATACGACTAATTGTCCTCTATCTTGTAATTGACGTAAAATCAATGTAAATGTGATGTAAATTTTATTTCGACGTAAATTTGATGTAAATATGCAATGGTAATATGTTGGTAACCAAACAAAAAATTCTATATATACCCTTTCTTCTCTCATTATTCCATCAACCCAAAAAAACATATAAAGACACAAATTTTTTGAGTCTTTGAATGTTTAAGTAAAATTTTTAGTAGTTGAAATTTATATCAAATTTCAAAAACAAAAAGTCAAATATTTGTTTTTGAAATGTCTATATACGATCTACGAAAGTGGATGTATACGCCCAAAAATGGTGATGGGTCGTTGACTGAAGACTTCAAAAACGGATTGGAAATATTCATGTACCAAGCCGGCCTTATGCAAACTGTAATTGAAAGCGGCAAAATGTATTGTCCTTGTGTGAAATGCAAAAATAGGAAACATATTTCTATTGACATTGTCTGGCAGTATTCATTGAATAGAGGGTTCATGCCCCAATACTTTATTTGGTATCAGCATGGAGAGGGATATGGTCAAAGTAGTGGTCAGATGGCTGCATGGAGTAGTAGTAATCATCAAGAACATGTGGATTTTGAAGCGTCCAATGATTATCTAAGTAGTCAAGTTCAGGGTGAAGATCATGATAGGATGCATGAAATGGTTACTGATGCATTTCATGAAACACATGCTGATACTGTTGAGGAGCCCAATGCAGATGCGAAACGCTTTTATGATATGTTAAACGCAGCAAAACAGCCTCTCTACGAGGGATGTAGGGAAGGTTTATCAAAATTATCATTGGCAGCTCGGATGATGACAATAAAAACTGATCACAATCTATCTGAAGTTTGCATGAACGATTGGGCAGATCTTATTAAAGAGTATTTGCCAGATGATAATTTGGCTGCTGAAACGTATTATGAAATTCAGAAGCTGGTTTTTAGTCTTGGATTGCCTTCTGAGATGATTGATGTTTGTGTTGATAATTGTATGTTTTTTTGGAGAGATGATGAGAAGCTTGAAGAATGTCGTTTCTGCCAAAAGCCAAGATATAGACCGCAAATTGCTGGGCGTAAGAAGATTCCTTACCAACAAATGTGGTATCTTCCTATCACTGATATGTTAAAAAGACTATATCAATCTGAACGGACAGCTGCGTCGATGAGATGGCATGCGGAACATTCACAAACAGATGGCAAAATGACTCACCCGTCTGACGGGAAATCTTGGAAACATTTTAACACCGTACATCCAGACTTTGCTAGGTCTAAGCGAAATGTTTATCTTGGTCTTTGCACTGACGGGTTTAGTCCATTTGGTATGTCTGGTAGGCAATATTCATTATGGCCTGTGATTCTTACGCCATATAACCTTCCTCCAGATATGTGCATGCAAAGAGAGTTTTTGTTTCTAAGTATATTAGTCCCTGGTCCAAATCACCCGAAGCGGGACCTTGATGTGTTTTTGCAACCACTCATACATGAGTTAAACCAGTTGTGGCATGTTGGAGTACGAACATATGACTGTTCGAGTGGTAAAAATTTTACGATGCGAGCGGCGCTTATGTGGACAATAAGCGATTTCCCGGCATACGGAATGCTATCAGGTTGGACAACGCATGGGAGGTTATCATGTCCTAATTTTCTTCATAGGACTGATGTATTTCAGCTTAAACATGGTAGGAAAACCTGTTGGTTTGATTGCCACCGTCGGTTTTTACCACCAAACCATCAATATAGAAGAAATAGGCGTTTGTTTATAAAGAACAAATTGGTTCGTCTCCCTCCACCAGTGTACCTAACTGGAGTAGAGCTTGAAGCGCAAATAAATCATTGGGGTGGACTTGAAACGGTCCCCCTTGGAGGAAATTGGCACACTCCTGCGAATATGCCTGAAGGATATGGGGTTCATCACAATTGGCACAAGAAAAGTATATTTTGGGATCTGCCTTACTGGAAAGATCATTTGCTCAGACATAATCTTGATGTTATGCACATTGAGAAGAATTTTTTCGATAACATCATGCATATTGTTTTGAACGTCCAAGGAAGAACCAAAGACTGCGTTAAATCACGGATGGACTTACCCGATATATGTAACAGAATTGAGTTGCATATGGTGAGTAATGGGAAAGCACTTGTTCCTGTATTTTGGTCGGGTGCTGAACAAAAAACAGCATTTTTTAATTGGGTATCATTAGCCGTGAAATTTCCTGATGGATATGTATCTAATCTGGCTAAATCTGTGGATAAAGGACAAACGTTTTCAGGGATGAAAAGTCATGATTGTCATGTGTGGGATGAAAAGTCATGATTGTCATGTGTTTATGCAAGTTACTTCCTTTTGCGTTTGCTGAACTCCTACCGGGACATGTCCATGAGGCACTACGAGGCATTGGAGCTCTCTTTCGTGATCTAAGTACAAGGACATTATCAGAAGATGTAGTTGCACAACTGTCTACAAATATTCGAATATTGTTGTGCAATTTAGAGAAAATATTCCCACCTTCGATGTTATGGAACATTTACCTATACACCTCCCTCATGAAACAGAGTTGGGAGGACCTGTTCAGTTTAGGTGGATGTATCCGTTTGAACGATTTATGAAGCATTTAAAGGGTAAGGCCAAAAACTTAGCAAAAGTTGAAGGGTCTATCGTGGCGGGAAGTTTGACAGAAGAAACTTCTCATTTCACGTCTTATTATT